GAGGAATGTTCCATCTTCCGGGCATCCCTTGGGTGTCCTGTGATGCTCCCATGCCCAGCCCTCCCTGTCAATGGGCCACTGGAGCATTGCAGCCTGCCACAGGCTGGCACCCAGGGGATCAGACCCCTCCAGGAGGAGGACCTGGATCAGCCTGCCAGGTGAGCCACCCAGACCTTCAGAAGTGCTTCCGGCTCCAGGAGAGGGAGCCCTGAAAAAGGGAGGAATGGGGAGGAGATGGTCCTCAGTTACAGCCTCAGGACCAACTCACGCAGCATGGGCGGCTGCTGGCCCCACCAACCTTCCTCCTGTACACCTGTACAGCAGCTGTGACCAATCAGACTTCCTGTTCCCTGCATCTGCATGGAATGGACTTGGCCCAAGAAGCCAGGGGAGTGGAGCTCTGCAGGGCTATGGGAACCACCCTTGGCCTCTCCTGGAGCCTTCCACCTGTAGCTGACTCGAGAAGATCACTCACAGCAGGTCCCTTCTCCGGAGCACTGGCCAAGTGGGAGCCACCTTGGAGCGGGGAGACTGTGCACCCCGACCCTCTGTGGGCTACAGTGGAGGTTCTGCAGTATCACCTGCCCTCCCCTAGCATCTCAGGAAGCCCTGGTGCCCAAATCCCTGTCTTGGGCTGCAATTCCAGGCAGTGATACTAAGAGAGGGTGGGTGGCTATGGGATTAGGAAGTGGGTGGGCGGGCAGGTGGGCGGTTTCCCGGCTCCAGCTCCTCTCCAGCCCTCCACACAGAGGCAGAGTCTCTTTATGCCCCTCCCTTGAACCTGGGGGCCCCTTTCTTGAATTTGTCAGGAACTCCACTCCCTTGCAGCTCCACAGCTGGACCCTCTGGTCTGTTGGAAAGTGTCTGTGAAACAACCCTTTATGTTCTGGTATTTTGTTTTGTTTTGTTTTGTTTTAGTTAAAGACAAGGTCTTTCTGTATTGCTCAGGCTGGAGTGCAGTAGTACGATCATGGCTTACTGCAGCCTCAACCTCCAGGCTGAAGTAATTCCCTGCCTCAGCCTCCCGAGTAGCTGGCACCACAATCCGGGGCCACCACCAAAACGAATTTTTACAATTTTTTTTTGTAGTCAGTCGAGGTGGCTCACACCTGTAATCTCAGCACTTTGGGAGGCTGAGGCAGGCAGATCACCTGAGGTCAGGAGTTCAAGACCAGCCTGGCCAACATGGAATCTCTACTAAAAATACAAAAAATTAGTTGGGCATGGTGGCACATGCCCGTAATCCTAGCTACTCGGGAGGCTGAGACATGAAAATTGCTTCAACCCAGGAGGCGGAGGTTGCAGTGAGCAGAGATTACACCATTGCACTCTAGCCTGGACAACAGAGCAAGACTCCATCTCAAGGAAAAAAACATTTTTTTATAGGCATGAGGATCTTGCTATGTTGCCTAGGCTGGTCTTGAACTCCTAGCCTCAAGTGATTCTCCCGTCTCAGCTTCCCAAAGCATTGGGTTAACAGGAGTGAGCCTCCATGCCCAGCCCTAACTCTTGCTTTTTGAATAATATCTTCTCTCTTTTTATTATTGGTAGCTAGAAGCAGCCAAGCAGCTCCTTGAACCTTCTCTCTGGGCATCTCTTTAGCTGGATCATCTTATTCTTGGGTATACTGTCTGGCTTCTAGTTCCTATTTGGCCACAGGTGACAACGTTGCTAAACTTCCTGCCGCTGCATAACAGTGGTCTCCTTTCCTCCGTCTTCCAGTAACATTTTCTTCACTTTCCTCCAAGTCCCCACTGTCAGCCTCTGCAAGATCCTCCCAGCTCCCGGACCCTGCCCCGTCCCAAAGCCAATGTCACATGATTTGGGTTTTGTGTCAGCAGCATCCCACTTCCACTACCAGATCCCGTTCTGCTTATCTGTAGCTATATAACAAACCACCTCAAACTTGGTGCAGTAAAAACGCACAGCATCATCTATTTTATTATCTCTCATCGTCCTGGAGCTTGACTGGGCTCAGGGAGGGGATTCTCAGTTTTGGTATCTCCTGTGGTTGCAGTCCAATGGCGGCCCGGGCCAGAGCCACCTGGAAGGCTTCCTCACTCACTTGTAGGTGCCCCATGCAGGGGGTGGGTGGGTCCTTCAGCTGGCGCTGCTGGCTGGAGCACTCCTATCCTCTCCCGAGGCTGCCTGTGCCCCTCACAGCATAGTGGCTGGGTGCGAACAGCAAGCATCCCGAAATGTGAGAGAGAGGAGGAGCTGGGTCACTCATCTGTGTGACTGTGTGTGTGACTTGGCCTCAGAAACCACACGATGTCAGTTCTGCTGCATTCTGTGGATTAGAAGCAAGTCATTGAGGCCAGCCCATGTTCAGGAAGAAACCCAACTAAACTCCCAAAGGGAGGGGTGTCAGAAAACCTGCCAGCATATTTCAGAGGCATCACAGTGGCCAGGCACAGTGGCTCACACCTATAACCCCAGAGCTTTGGGAGGCTGAAGCAGGTGGATTGCTTGAGGTCACAAGTTCTAGACTAGCCTGGGCAACATAGATCTATATTGTTTCTTAATTAGCCAGGTGTGGTGGTGTGTGTCTGTGTTCCCAGATACTCAGGAGGCTGAGGTGGCAGAACCTCTTGAGCCCAGGTGTTCGAGGCTGCAGTGAGCTATGGTCACCCATTGCACTCCAGCCTGGGTGAAAGAGTGAGACCCAGTCTCAAAAGTGAAAAAAAAAAGGGAGGGGGGGGCGGTGGGCAGGCCAGGCAGGCACAGTGGCTCACACCTGTAATCCCAACACTTTGGGAGGCTGAGGCAGGCAGATTGCTTGAGCTTGGGAGTTTGAGACCAGCCTAGGCAACATGGCAAAACCCCCCAAAACCAGAAACATTAGCTGAGCATGGTGGTGCACCTGTAGTCCCAGCTACTTGGTAGGCTGAGGCAGGAGGATCACTTGAGCCCAGGGCACCAAGGCTCCAGTGAGCTGTGATTGCACCACTGCACTCCAGCCTGGGCGACAGAGCAAGACCCTGTCCCAAAAAATAATACAAAATAGAAAATATTTTGAAAAGGTGCCACAGTGGGCCATTTACCAAGGTGGACTGGTGATGAGGCAGGGCACACGCAGAAGCAGACAGGTGGAAGAGAATGAGCCCTGGAGGTGGACAGGTGGGCAGTGGTCCATTTGTAAAAGTGGGGAACAAGAAAGGGATTTTGAGAAGACCTAGAGTTCCTTTCTGGCATGGTGACTGGGAGACCTTTATTGGTGGTGGAGATGGAGATGTGGAGCAGGCTCTGGAAACAAGAGCCTGGAGCAGAGAGAAAGGCCAGGCTGGAGGTGCACTTGTGAGTCACTGTCACAAAGATGGTGTCTGGATCTCCAAGGCTGGAATAGGTATCGAGGGTGAGAATGGGAAGGGATGAAGCAATGGCCAGGGCTAGGAGGAAGAGGGCTCAGCAAATGTTGGGGTGGCTCTCCTGACCAATGATCCTGCCTCCCCTATCATAGCAGAGCTCTGATTTTCGAGGATGGTCCAGATGCAGTTCTGTGAGGGAGGTCTGCTGGGGTAGAAGGGATCCATGGCCATCCAAAAGGCCATGGGAGGAGACGAAAAGTGTGGGGCTGTGGCAGCCATTCTACCACCAGGAGGTGGGTGTGGGGTTGGCAGAGCCACTCACGGAGGTGGCAGCTCCATCACTGAGCCTCCAGACTAACAACCCCTGGGAACCCTATGTGGGAGCTCTTGTGACAGAAATTAAATCAGTAGGTTCTGTCACAGCGATGTCCACAGCACTTTCACTGATAGCAGAGCGGGGATGGCAGAGTCTTGCAGAGGGGCTGGCGGCGGGAGGAGCGCAGGAATACGCATTGCCCTGTGGAGGCGGCCAGCTTCTAACCGTCTCACGCCTAGTCACTACAGTTTACAGACTGGGAGAGTCAAGCCCAGAGGCTGAAGGCACCTGTGGAAGTCACACGGCCAGAAAGTGACAACTCGGTATGGGCCAGGCCGTCTGTTTCTCTGTGCTGAGTCCCATACTGTATTTTCGGAGGTCAAGAGGAGAGGATCTTAAGCTGAAGTGACGGTCCCGCTGTCCGAAGCCGCTTCACTGAGGGTGAAACAATGCAGCCAAGTGCGGGTCACCTGCGCTGTGGCAGAAGAGACCGAGGACGGTGTGGCCAAAGTAGGACTGTCCTGGGCGGAGAGCGAGGAGGGGGAGCCCACAGCTCCTGGGGGCAGGGACAGTGCGAGGAAGGGCGGGGTGCAGTGTTGGATGTTTCTGCGGGGATTCTGGGTCCAGTGGGAAAGCTGGAGGACGGACGGCTCTGGAGCACCGAGGAGGGGCCTTGAAAAGAGCAGGGAGGTCTCCTTGACGCAGGTGAGGAGACGGAGAACTGGGGGCACCCGGCAGCCCAGGTTTCCTGCCGCGCTCCCACGCCCTCTAGGGCCATGAGACTCTGGCTCCGAGGTGGCGGGCGGGTTTGGAACCCAGCGCGGCGGGACCGTGGGGTTGCTGGTGGTGTTGGGCCCCATGGAGGCTGCGGTCCCGGAGTTTCGGGTGGGCGGCTAGGCTGGGCTTCTGCAGGCGTGCTGAGCCGCCACGGTAGGGCCCCAGAGGGGACGAGGAACAAGGCCCGGCGGAACGAGGCGTCGGGGGGGGCCACCAGAGGCTGGGCCGGGAGGCACCGCCGCGCTCTGGGGGCTGCCACGGTCGGGGCGCCCTCCGGGCGGCTGCCAGGCCCAGGGGTCGGCGGGGAGGCGGTCATCCGACCCTTCCCCGCAGGTCGCCCTGACCGCGCGAGCGGTGGGCCCCGGCGGGACAGGAAGACGCGGGCGGGGGGCGGGGAAGGCACAGGGCGCCCTCCCCGCAGCGCCGCCGGCCCCCGCGCGCCGAGGCAGAGCCGCCGCAGTCGAGGATTAGCGCGCTCGCGGCCGCGCTGCGGGATTAACCCGCGTGGACTGGGCGCCCGGCCCGGGGATTACTGCGCGCTCCCCCCCCGACGTATATATTTCAGCGGCGGCGGCGGCGGCGGCCGGGCCGGGCAGGGCATGGCGGCAGCGGCGGGGGCCCCCGGGCGGCCCTGCCCCTTCTCCATCGAGCACATCCTCTCCAGCCTGCCCGAGCGGAGCCTCCCGGCCCGGGCCGCCTGCCCACCGCAGCCCGCCGGTGGCCAGAGCCCCACCGAACCAGAGGAGCCCGGGGCGCCAGAGGCTGCGCCCTGCGCCTGCTGTTGCTGCTGCAGCCCCCGCGCGGGGCCCTGCGGGCCCCCAGAGGCGGCAGCCGGGCTGAGTGAGTAGGCGCGGGGCGGGACGCGGGGCCCGGCTGGGGAGCCCGGGGCGCAGCGCGGTGGGTGCGGAGCTTGGCCCCAGCCCCGCGCCTCACCGCGCCCTCGCTCCATAGGCGCTCGTCTGGCGTGGCCGCTGAGGCTGGGACCCGCGGTGCCCTTGTCCCTGGGTGCGCCAGCTGGAGGTTCCGGGGCGCTCCCAGGCCCGGTCGCCCCGGGTTCGCAGCGGCGCACGCGGCGCCACCGCACCATCTTCAGCGAGGAGCAGCTGCAGGCGCTCGAGGCGCTCTTCGTGCAGAACCAGTATCCTGACGTGAGCACGCGCGAGCGCCTGGCCGGCCGCATCCGCCTTCGCGAGGAGCGCGTGGAGGTGGGTGCCCCGCCCAGCCTCTCCCCAGAGCGCGCGGGCCGCGGCTACACTGCACTGGGTCCTGGCGGGCGGGCGCCCTTTGCAAAAACGGCCTCGCCCCAAGCCCTACCCTGGCGCGCCGGAGGTCCCTGGAAGGTGCTGGGCGTCCAGGGGGACGAGGAGCGGGTGAGGGCGGGCAGGTGTCCCGGGAAAGGGACGGGAGGGCTACTTTTGTTTTACACTTTACCCTGATGACGAAAAAGGCGCGCCTTCACGTCCCGAATTTGGGATATTCAGAAGGGCCCTGAACCCAAGAAGGGGCGTCCTGTTCGCCACCAGCTGGAGGCTGGGGCGGGTACGAAGGGGGTTCCCATTTCGCGTTCAGACCCACCGAGTCTGTCCGCAGCGAATAAGAGCAGGTGGCGCGCAGCCGCTGCCGGTTGCCGGCTCTGCAGCGCCGTCCGCCCACGCCCCTGTCGCGAAGCTCCCTTGTCGGTCCCTGTGGGAGCCTCGGGAGCCGGTGGGACGTGGGACCTGAGCTGGGGCTGAACATTCTCCTCATTCCCAGGTCTGGTTCAAGAACCGCCGGGCCAAATGGCGACACCAGAAGCGCGCGTCGGCATCCGCGAGGCTCCTGCCCGCCCTCAAGAAGTCTTCCAAGGGGAGCTGCTGATGACAATAGGAGCTGCCCCTGGGCTCGGCCACCCTTTTTGGGGTCTTTGGAGTTGGCCCTGGGAGAAGACAGATCTACCCGAAAAGGAACTGGGAGAGTATACCCGTCTGCTCCGCCCGTCTCCACAGCCCTTGCCTCCTGCAGCTTGTACCCTAAAGACAGCTGTACCCTAAACACTCCTCGCTGGGAAGGAAGGACCCCAGCCCAGGGCCCCTGGTGCATGGTGTTCCACGGTAGTGGGAGTAGGGAGTCCCTTGGGGGTGGGCTGGGGCATAGAGCAGCTTCCTCACCCCCTCATCACCCCAAGAGACACTAACTCCACCCCAGGAGGGGAACCACCCGTATCAACACTGGACCCAGAATCCTCCGCAGCGGAGCCTCTCTCCGCACCCTGGGACATGCTGGCCTCCCTCTTCTCAATGTGAACATTGACCCAACTTGACCTGGCCCGCCCTCCCGCAGCGGGAAGCAGGGTGGGGTTCGTGTCTGTGCAGTCCTGGGGTTGCAGGCTTCCCAGGCCCTGGGCTGACTCTTGGTATCTGGACCTGTAGGATAAGAAGGTCGCAGGAGCGATTCCAGGAGCCCCTCCCCAGTCCCTTCACCTTCACCTTCACCTTCGAGCCTCGCGCTGATACTGAGAAACAAGCAACTTCAGATACCACAGAAGCCGCCCAGAGTCTCAAGTCCACCTTGGCTCCACCCTGACAACCAACAAGGAGCTGTCCCTTCTTCCTTCCTTCGCAGCGAGGGGAGTTTAGGGTACAGCTGTCTTTGAGAGGAGCACAGCTTTGCGAGGCCTCAGTCTCTGCACCAGGGTGCCCCCCAGCAGAGGAGACTGCTCCATGGATGGTGGCCTTGGGCCCCTGGGGTCCAGCCCTGGCCTCTGGGCTACTGTGAACCTGCCCATGGGTGGGGGTCCCCTGCTTCCTCCTGGGATTTTCTGTGCTGTGGGGTCGGCCTCCCTCACAGCAATCTCTGCCATCCTAGGGTAGGGCAAGAGGAGATTGGACTGGCGAGACCCCACCCCTGCTGCCTAGGAAGATGCCTGCCCTCCCCTTCTTTATCCTGGCCCATGGCAAAAGGCACCCTGCAAAGAAGCCTTCGATTCTCCAAGTAGGCCCTACAGTGGGTCCAAAGCATCTCACATCCCCTTCAGCTGGCTTGAGCACCTCGCTCTGTCACCTTATAGGCCCTGCAGGAAACGGGGCAGTTCTCCCTGCAGGAAACGAAATCCATCTCTAAAAGCAGGACTGCAGAAGCCAGGGCTGCAGCTCCTCGGACACCCCAAGGCTGGCCAGCTTGGATAACACCAAGCAAGCATGGTGTCCCCAGTCAGAACTGCCCTGACACTGCTGGGTGTCCCTAGCATTCCCGCCTCCACCCCTAGCATGCACACTGCTGGTTGTCACAAAACCCTTCTCCCTGAACCCTGGTCTTGCCCTCGGGGACTGAACAGACGACCTGTGGACATGCCCGTGTCCCGGTCAGCTCCCTTGCAGGTGGGGACACTCCCATCTGGCGGGTTCCAGTTCCCTCGCACTCCTTGGTTGAATGGCCATCTGTCATTGTGTCGGGAGCCCTGATCAGAGCTTGTGGAGCGCCACCTTCCAGGGCTCAGTGGCTGTGTTGCTCTCCTGAATTTGCTCCTTGAGCTCTAGCTGCTCCTTGGCAGGCTGACCCCCCCGCCCCCCAGCAGGCTGTTAACATAGGCATCCTTCAGGCTCACACCCAGGCGCTCACTTCTCATCTTCACCCTCTCCCCGGTTTATCTTTTACCCTCGGACTCCAGTTCCTATCTTTCTGCCACATTTACATCTCAAGCTCAGGCCCTTCCCCTGAGCCAGGTATTTATCTCCAGCTGTCTGCTTGAAGCCCACAGACTCCTTAAGGTCACCTTGTCCACAGTGAGCTCTTCTGTGCAAACCAGGCACATGAGCCAAAGAGCCAGCGATCACTGGACCCCTCCTTCTCCTGATCATCCACTATACCCAGGCTGACAGGAAGTCAATTTTACTGTTTATCAATAAATTCCAGAATCTCTTCAGCTCTAACTGTACCAGTCTGATGTAAGCCACCGTCACCTCTCACCTTGACCACTGCCAACTGTTTCCAGTCTTGTCCACCTGCACCCACACTGGCTCTGCTTTTTTGTCGGTTGGTTTGTTTGAGACAAGGTCTCGCTCCGTCACCCAAGCTGGAGTGCAGTGGTGCAATCACGGCTCACTACAGCCTCCAGCTCCTGGGCTCAAGTGATCCTCCCGCATCAGCCTTTTGAGTAGCTAGGACCACAGGTGGGCACCACCACACCTGGCTAACTTGAAAAATATTTTGTAGAGATGAGGTCTTGCCATGTTGACCAGGCGGGCCTCAAACTTCTGGCCTCAAATGATCCCCCAGCCTAGGCCTCCCAAAGTGCTAGGATTATAGGCATGATCCACTGTGCCTGGCCTGTCCCTTCAATTCAGAATAAAGACAAACCACCTCACCATACCCCACGAGGCCCCGTGCAGCCTGGCCCTGCCTCTCTGGCATCATCTCACACCTCACTGCACTCTGCATTTCCAAAGGACTTCTTGGGAACTTGCCTTACTCCCTCCCACCACTAGGCCTTTGCACATGCTCTTTCCACCTGACCACTGCCTGTTTGTTCATCTTTTGAATCTGCAATCACTTTCTGCCTGGGGAAACTTCTCTGACCTCCCAAACTAGGTCAAGATTCCCCAAGTACAAACTCTTTTCTTGCAAGGACACAGCTGCAATTTTACACCTGTTTGTGTGATGATCTAACAAGTGTCTCTGTCTCCCCCATTGCCCTGTCACTTCTACCAGGGCAGCAGCAGCACGCTGCACTTCAGTGAATGAAGGTATGCTTGTATGTTGCAAAAGCAAAATTGTATTAAATTGTTCCAGGGCAGAATTTATTTGTCTGACATAATTCACATCTTCCGTTTGGGGAGAAATTCCTTAAATTTTCTGGTCCACTTGAATGTTAATTTTTTTTTTTTTTTGGACAGAGTTTCGCTCTGTCACCCAGGCTGGAGTGCAGTGGCACAATCTCTGCTCACTGCAGTTTCCGCTTCCTGGGTTCGAGTGATTCTCCTGCCTCAGCCTCCCAAGTAGCTGGGACTACAGGCACCTAGCACCACGCCCAGCTAATGTGTGTGTGGCTGGAGTGCAGTGGCGCAATCTCTGCTCACTGCAGTTTCCGCTTCCTGGGTTCGAGTGATTCTCCTGCCTCAGCCTCCCAAGTAGCTGGGACTACAGGCACCCACCACGACGCCCAGCTAGTGTGTGTGTGTGTGTGTGTGTGTATACATATTTTTTTTTAGTAGAGTTGGAGTTTCACCATGTTGGCCAGGCTGGTCTCAAACTCCTGACTTCAAGTGATCCACCTGCCTGTGCTTCCCAAAGTGCTGAGGTTACAGGCATGAGCCACTGTGCCTGGCCTTGAATGAGAATTATCCCTCTTCTGGGAAGCCCACTATGGCATTTGGGGGCCCAATAATCTCTTTTATTTTTATTTTTATTTTTTTTACAGAGTTTCACTCTTGTTGCCCAGGCTGGAGTGCAGTGGCGTGAACTCAGCTCACTGCAACCTCCGCCTACTGGGTTCAAGTGATTCTCCAGCCTCAGCCTCCCGAGTAGCTGGGACTACAGGCACCCGCGTCCGCCACCATGCCCAGCTAATTTTTTGTGTGTGTGCGTGTTATTTTTTTATTTTTTTATTTTTTTTGAGACGGCGTCTTGCTCTGTCCCCCGGGCTGGAGTGCAGTGGCACGATCTCGGCTCACTGCCATCTCTGCTCCCGGGTTCACGCCATTCTCCTGCCTCAGGATTCAAGTGCCTCCTGGGTTCAAGCAATTCTCCTGCCTCAGCCTTCCGAGTAGCTGGGACTAGGCGCCAGCCACCATGCCCGGCTTATTTTTTTTTTTTTGTATTTTTAGTAGAGACAGGGTTTCACCATGTTAGCCAGGATGGTCTCCATCTCCTGACCTCATGATCCACCCGCCTCGGCCTCCCAAAGCGCTGGCATTACAGGCGGTGAGCCACCGCGCCCGGCCTTTTGTGTGTTTTTAGTAGAGATCGGGTTTCATCTTGTTGGCCAGGCTGGTCTCGAACTCCTGACCTCAAGTGATCCGCCCCTCTTGGCCTCTCAAAGTGCTGGGATTCAGAATAATCTTTAGACATTTCTTAATTGATCCACTGTCTTGTTCTTTCTTTTATCTTTTGTTAGATAGCTATAAAAAAAAGATTGTTTTGGCCGGGGGCGGTGGCTCACGCCTGTGATCCAGAGACCAGCCTGACCAACATGGAGAAAACCTGTCTCTACTAAAAATGCAAAATTAACTGGGCGTGGTGGCCCATGCCTGTAATCCCAGCTTCTCGGGAGGCTGAGGAAGGATAATCCCTTGAACCCGGGAAATCCGGTGAGCCGAGATCGCACCATTGCACTCCAGCCTGGGCAACAAGAGCGAAACTCCATCTCAAAAAAAAAAAAAATTGTTTTAAGGCCCTTTTTTTGCATAAAGCTTGAAACTCCTATATAAGCACATTTCCTCGTGTGTATTTTTGTTGAATAATCTCGAAGCATACATAGTTCTTACTTGTGGGAAATTAGAATTCTAAGGCCTTTGGGCACCGTAAAGCTAGAATTTTTCGCGTGTAGAACACGCCCCATAGCACCCGCCCCCCGCCACCTCCACAGCACCACCTCGTGTTCACAGCGTTGACAAGCATGAATAGCACGGGGCAGGACAAAGACTACAACTCCCATAATGTCTAGCATGTATAGTGACGTCAGTACGGAGCGCGGGCTGGCTTTCTAGAGCCACAGCTTTTCCATTGGCCAACTATTGGAGGCGCCTGCGCAAATGATGCAATCCCGCCCCCTCCACCCTGTGACGCGCCTGGGGTGCCAGAGGTTTTTCCTGGGATAGCGATGGAGACTCCGGGCGCATCAGCTTCGTCCTTGTTGCTCCCCGCGGCGTCCAGGCCCCCGA